CGAGCTGACGCCAGACAGCCGTTTGAGTTGGTGCGTGTCTTCAACTGCTACAGTCGGTCGACAAGGACAGACAGATAGGCGACCGTCGCGGACGGGTGTGCCTCGTGGACCATCGTCAAACCTTCCTGCAGGACAAGACCTGTGCGACCTTGTGATTGACCTCAGACACCAGAGAATCCATGTGTCGGTTTCTGACCGACGTGATTTCTATCATCAGATCTGGGTTACACGGGCCCGCGCTGTATCAAACACTTTAGGCCCAGGCTTGCCTGCAGATTTGGTGTCAGATGCTGCGGCCTATCGACAGTTTCTTTTGAGCAGCTCCAGACAGAAGTACTCCAGAGCGCTACATGGGGATAGGCTGGACATGCATGATGGTCAGGGTCGTCGATCGGAGCTTCTTTGGGCAGGTTTTCAAAGCATTCTTCAGGGCGACCATGGGGGTGTCGAGATTGCCACCGATGCTCACAGTCAATTGCTGAAGAGCTATGGATTGCTGCTTAAAGACAGTCAGTTGGTTGCCAACCGGCCTTGCACCAATGCAACAAGTTGTGAGGGGCTGGTCATTGATGACTTCTTCAGTGTTTCGATTGATGATCTCGGCGTTGACCCATTGAGCTCTCGCTCTTACAAGTCCTACATGACTGCACAAAGAGCCTATGACGACTACAAGCGCTGCTTGGATCATCTGAGAAGGATGTTAAAGCTGCCCATGAAGGTAAAGTCATTGGAGCCTACATCAACGGCGGTGCTGAAGCAGTCAAGCAGGGTGTTTGCACTGTCGGAGCCCAGGCAGGGAAGAGGTTGGCGCTTTCTTTTCTGACCTTGCAGGTTTGTTCATTGGCCTATACTACCACATCCCTTCACCGCTGCATTGTTGGTGCGTGGGTCTCCATGCTACTCTACAGGCGTCCAATGATGGGTCTGCTCAACGAAGCTTTTCGACTGGTCGAGGACTCAGATGGTTATGGAGACAATGCATTGATTCCACTTCCGAGGCAGGTCGCTTTGGAGTTGACATTGGTTGCTGTGCTGGCTCCTCTTATTCTCAGTGATATAGCAGTTGCCTTTGATGATCGGGTCTATGCCGCTGATGCTTCTGAGAAGAAAGGTGCAATATGTATTACGACCATGCCTGTTGAAGTCGTGCAGCTTCTCTTCAAGGCTTGTCGGACAAAAGGGGCCTATACAAGACTTCATTTTGAGGAAGCAGATGACCATGGCAAAGCCTCTGGGTTTGGTGCACAGCAGTCCTCTCAAGGTGATGACCCGACCGCTGGCCTCTCAGTTGATAGACCTCTGGCTTACAGTTTCGAGTTCATTGAGATCTATGCGGGCTCATCCCGTATCACGAAGTCGATTGCCGCACTGGGGATTACAGTTGGGCCACCGTTGGACATTTCGTTTTCTGAGGAGTTTGATCTATCAAAGCTCCATGTTTTGTCCTGGATCTATTTTCTCATTGAGTCCGGACGGTTGTTGGCAGTTGCATTGGAACCACCATGTACAACGTACAGCATAATCCGGAGGCCTGCCTTGAGGAGTCGCCTGGCCCCTTATGGCTTCGATCCTGGAGATCCAAAAACACATCTTGGCAACGTCCTTTTCCTGAGGGCCCTTCAGATCATGCACAAGGCTGCAAGGCATCAGATTGCTGGTCTCTTGGAGAGGCCGTTTTCAGCGCTAAGCAAGTTCCTACCGCCCTACCAGAGGCTTTTGGCAGTTCCTGGTGTTGAAGAGGTCCGGATTGACTCGTGTCAGTATGGGTCCATTCATCAGAAATCTTTTGCCATGTTGTGTTTGAACTTGGGTACAAGCACCATTGCAAGACGGTGTGACGGAAGCTGTCAACATGTGCCAGTTCAAGGTGTCTTCACAAAATCGTCAGCTATCTACACCCCCGAGTTGGCTGCCGCCCTTGCTTGGTCTTTGGCTCATTCAGTCTTCACCCTTCGTGAAGTGAGGGCTAGTCAGAATAAGGACACCGTCTCGGGCCTTGAGAATCAGCTGGTAAACGAGATCATGCTGACCCAACCGTGGCAGGTATTGAAGGCATGGAGATTTAAGAAGGAGTCCCACATCAACCTCCTCGAGCTGAAGGCTGTTGAGAAGCTTGTTGAACTGAAGGCGAAAGAGGGGCAAAGACGCTTCATCAATATGGTCGACTCCAATGTGGCCCGTTGTGCTCTTGGGAAAGGGCGATCGGCTTCTAGAGCCATATCCAGTGTTTTGAGGAGAACTTCAGCAACCATGGTCGCTTTTGGCCTCTACATGGTAACACCTTTTTGCCCCACAAGGCTCAACTGTGCAGATGATCCTTCTCGTGATCATGAACTACGACCTCCAGTTCCAGGCATGAGTTCTGTTGAGCTCTCAGTTGAAGATATGTGGGGCATGGCGCTCATCAGGCCGGCGCGTCGTTGGGCCTCCAATTGGGCGCGTCTCACGTTGCTCCTACGGCCAAGTCTCCTATGTTTGCTCAGGGAAGGTCACCGTTCAAGAACACTGATGTCGCGCTCTGGCCTCTTCCCGAGCAGTTCTGGCAATATGCTTCCCAGATGCCCTTCTTTTGATTTCTCAGCCTTGGACTTCGACAGCACTTTGGGCTTCCCTGGTGAGGGCCCCCGGCCCTCTAGGGCTTCAGGCCTCTGGCCCTCTCATTTGCCTTCGTGGACTTCTGGATTTTCATCATGCATCGGTTGGATTTTGCTTGGGTTTTTCCCGCATCTTGCCTCGTCTTTCTCTTCCTTCATCTGCCCTCCGGCACGGCCCTCTCGGCCCTTGCTTGCGGCCTTCCTCGCTGTTGCTGCTCCTCTGGGTGCTGGCTGTGGGTGGGGTGCTACCTTGTGCAGCCATGGAACCTGGAACGCGCGCTGAAGCACTGCGAGCTGCCCACCGACGTGAGGTAGGTCTTTTTCCTGAAGGCCGGCCCACTCTAGCTCAGACTGGAAGGCTTCGGAGCGCTACTGGCTGCAGTTCGAGGACCAGACATTTGGCAAAGTTGGGCATCGTGCCTTCAGCATGGTGGTTGCTCCTGCAAAAGGAAGAGCTTGGAGAGGTCGGGGCAAAACGGAGCTCAACTCACTGGTGGCGAGACCTGCCACCCTGTGCAACACCTTTGATGGAGAAAAGGAACGATGGCTTGAGTTGTTATATATATATATATATGGATTTTTCCTTGGCTTTCAACCGCACTTGTATTACATGTCCTGCTTGAAACACATCTGCATACCGATCTTTTGGGGGAGCATACATATAAAGCTATATATATACATATGTGTGTGTGTGTGTCATTTTCCTTTTTGCATATGTAGGAAAAACTGACAGATAGGCCACTGTCTCCCACCAGATACGGTAATTGCAAACATGTTGTTTTCGGATGCATTGGTTCGCATTTCCAAGTCGTTGCGTGGGTACCTTTGGAACAGAGATGCCCGATTTGATTTCGTCCTTAGCTGGCGCTTCGGCTTGCACGTGCTTAGCCAAGGGGCTCGCGATGGCCAAGCACGAAATTGAAGATGTAGGCAGATGAAGGGCAAATGACACAGCCTTAATGAAGCAGTCTGGATGGTTCAAACTTCGCAGTGGCCGAAAGGTGGGCGAGCTCGCCTCGTAAGCATCAGTCGAAGCAGCAGCCGCTTTGCCATCGTTGTCCGGAGTCTCGACAACAGAACTGCTTAAGCATTGCATAATTTTCTTTAGCTTGGTGTGATGACTTGTTGTATTTGTGCAAGTTTCATGGTCAATCACAAAACATGGGATTGCTATTTCTGGGAGAGGGGATCAAAGAATTCTGTCAGGTCAGTCCCTACTTTCAGCCCAACATGGCTGTGGCTCCTCGAACTATCAAGCAATTCTGCTGGAGGTTCTGGATTTTGGGACGAAGGTCCAAGTGTAAGGCTTGAGGGCACTCTATTGAAGGACTAGGAACCAAATTGAACCAAAGCTTGAGAGGACCAAGTGAGCTAGGCAAGTGAGCCAGGGAGCCGAACCAAGACCGGAAACGGTTGTGTTGTGGAGGCCACTACGCGTAGCATCCAGCAAAATTCCATCAAAAAAGTCTTTTGTGGAGACGAGTCCTCACCCAAGTGCTTCCCTTACTGTTCGATCTCACCTTGAAGGTGAAGTGGGCAGACCTTCGCGACTTTGGGCTTGCGGTTTTACTTTGGCAACCGATTAGTTGGAGAGCAAAACGCTCTGAGTTCGATTCAGGGTTGAGAGCAAAACGCTCCAGAGTGGTGGGTCTTCCCCTCCCGTCATTTTCATGTTCCGCTACCTCAATGAAGATGCCTCAAAAATGACAACAATTCTCAGTCCAAATGCCCTTGTACAAACATTCTAGATTTGGCACCCAAGAGCGACAAGGTCCAATGTCGAATGTTAAACAGAGAGATTGGACCATTCCATCGTTTAACGCTTGGGCTAGTTCAGTTCTTGGCATGAAAGAACCGGCGGCCAGAAATGGAACTATATACCAACATTTCTTGCCTCTATACTTGTGGCAGAGGCTTAAAGTGAACTGTTTATTTTTTTTGCCTGATGATAAGTGGCAAGCCAATTTGGCAACTCTCCAATTTTGGCCAAACTCCGGGACAATTCTGAGCCTCCCGTATCCTAGGTGTATTCTTTGCATTTAGCAAGGTCGCCCAGGAGGCCAAGGACTGCAATGGAACATGGCGTGAATGTGCAGTTTGTGACAAGTTCTGGCCGACATTTTCAGTTGATTCAGTTTTCCATTTATATATTGTACCTTGAGCATGACATGCCTGGTATGATGATGCAAGGAGAACTCAGCTGCCATATGTCGGAAGGGGCATGAAGAGGCTCAGATGATTCCAATACTTGCAAATTCCTGAAGCTGAATTGCATCATGATTGATTCGCCAATTGGCCTTACCGCAGTGCAAGCTGACGTTTCACAGGGATCTTCGTGCCGCAACCATGAGAAGTGGAGACGTTTGGCGCTTGCCCGCGACCTTCACTCCTTCAATTGCATGAACTATGAATGCATCACATGCACTTGAATGTAAGGACACAAGAGAGGAGAAGGACTCCGAAGCCAAAGGCCACAGATCTTGTTTTGGAAATGGGGCTCTAGGACAGATGCTGTCCTTTCGAGTTTTGGCAGACTACGGTGAGAACAGCTATTTCTTTTTTGACAGCTAGACTACGGACCATGCCGAGCAAAAAACATATGTGATTCGTTGCAATGCGCATGCCAGTTCAGCAAATCTGGCTCGACATCGCTGTTACCTGCAGCTGCAACTTGGCAAGTTTCCTTACAAAGTGGTTCCAATCCTGTTCTTGGAACACATTCCAACAGGAAACATTTGCTTCAGCACTTTCCAAACATGTAGTTGCTAGTGCTAGATTGACTGCGCCGGCGCCATGCTTGCCCTGAGCAGGCACCGTCGAGAAGGATGAAGGCAGCTGATGGGACTGCACTTTATTGTGAATAGTGGAATATTTCAAGCAAAGTCTAGAAAGAATGGTTTGACAATGGAATAGAAGCTCGTCACTCAGCTGGCTGATGCATTCAATGGCCAAGGGCCACAGATAGCCTGGAAATCAGATGTAGCACTTGATTGAACATGCTTTTCGCATTTTTTCGCTGGGCAGGATGGAGTGGCACTCTCAGTGTTTGAATTCAGTGAGTCAGATTCTTTGCCAACGGACAGTTCAGCTAAAATCCAAAGCGGCTTACATTGTTGAATACTTGTGTTCAGGAGGATCGCAATGCCTCCAAGCTGACTGGAGTGGCCTCTATGCCTCAGTTGTCAGGGGCTGAATGCAGTTTATCGAAGCCAGGTGCAAAGAGAAGTCAAGACAAGAAACACATGACAGATTTAAGATGGTGGATCCAAAAGCAATGAATCTGCCTCCAGACCTGGGCTGGAGTTAAATTAAGTAGCAGGTGTTTTTGAGGTGTTGAAGAGTGAACAAGGTTGCCCAAGGCACCACGTTGTACAACCATATGTTCAATTTGTATCCCATCAAATGCAGAGAAATGACCGCTGCTGGCTCTTGTCGTCCACAAGCTGAGAGTAGTATCAATCATGGTTCAATGGTACCTTGCAAAGGGGTTCTTCCACACGATTTTGCTTGTTCCTCCGCTAGTGTTTTGTACACTTGCGGCTGAATCTACTTGCTGGAGGGGCTTGTTCGACTGGTGTAAACAAGCCCTGTGCATTGGCTAAATGTGGAGTTGGCATGGAGCTCGAACTTGACAAGGTCGGTGCAAGTCGGCACGTAGGTGAACAAGCCGAAACACCTGGGTCCTGATTGACACACCATGAATCATGAACCTGCGACATCTCAAAACTAATGACTCGGAGCTATCTCTGCCAGAACCAGATGACCCTTTTCTGAAGAGCTATTGAGCACCAACTCAGGCAAATGACAGGAATTGCGATTCACTGTTTTGAGGCCTGCGCTGGTCGAAACAAAGGACAAGAAGGCACAGCATGTGCTGCCGGGTCAGTATATCCTTTGGCTTGAATGTGCTTGCCTGGTATCTTGTGGTAGTTCATGCCAGGCGGAAAAGACCAGTGTCGCCGACTGGAGGGAAATGTGGAAACAGCGTGCCCTGCAAGAGTTGCCATTGTCTCAGAACCTACACTAAAAGGGGCCAGATCTGCCGTGTCAAAACGCTTGAATTATTTGAGCAGGGAGGGACTTAATTTGATATTTATTGCGAAAGCCAGCCGATAGGCTAGGCTGGAGTCGTCGATGGGCGAACGAACTGAGTATAGGTGGTTGCAGGGCCGGTCCCGGCGGGTAGGATGAACCCAGAGCCTGGTGGGGGAGAGCGGAAAAGAAACGAGCGTCCAAAAAGCATTGCAAGTGTATGTTTTAGGTGTCTTGGTGATGTGTTTGATTCTACAGGGATACCAGAAGCGCCTACGGGTCAGCAAACTCAGGGTCTTGTGTGGGTCATACACTACAAGCAAGCAGTTTACCTTTTTGCCCACAGCAAGGAACCTCTGCAAGAGGCCTGATACCAGACGAAAGACGTTTGGAATGGTGGAGACAGCAACAAGTTCTGCAACAGCAACAAGGTGACATTGGATAGTGCATCATTAGCGTCACGAAGTGTTCAGGAGCAATTTAGATTGTCTATTGACCACGGGTGGGAGCCTGAATAAATAACAGGAAAGGGGAGACTGCGTGACAAGAAGTGCAACAAACAGGGAGCTGACCAGGCCAACTGAAAAGGTGTGTCCATCCAGTTGGAGGACAGAAGCGGCGAGACTCTCTCTCAGCTCTAAATTCTCATAGAGAGAAGAAACTCCAACCTCCTCCATCAGAGTTGCCCATAAAAGTAGCTGACACACCCTTGTGTCTTGACATCTGTTATTTACCATCCGATGAGCCATGCTTGAAGCTTCATTTGCAGAAAAGAAGGATTCTAGAAGCTGATTGTGGCCTCCAAAACATTGAAATTCTTGCCGGCCAATTTACGTCCCCCGGAAGTAGTAGTAGTAGTAGTAGTAGTAGTAGAAGTAGTAGCTGAAAATCTTTACGGTACATAGTACATGTTTCTTATTAAAAGAACATTTTTTCATTTCAAGTCAAAATAGATAGCCCAAAAAAAATCGTTAAATCGTTAATTCGTTAAGTTTGATCTACATATAATATAAGATAATATAAATTAATATAATATAATATAATTCAATATAATATAATATATGAATCATAATCCAATTTGATGTGTTTTTGTTCATGATCTTTATTTTCATTTTCCCATCTTCTAACCCCCTAACGCACATCTCACCTTGAATCAACTCCCCCACGTCCGACACCACGTGGGGTGTGTCTCCCTATATTCACCACCTGACACACCACTGACCACCTCAGCCACCGGGCCGGTTCGCTCGGACCTCAGGCGCCGCGGCGACCTTTTGGCGGCTTTTGGTTTTTGTAGCTTCTGTGGCTTTGCGGACTTTTGGCTTTGATGGGTTTACTTAGATATGAGAGTAATAAAGCCGCCGCACTTACCCAGTTCAACATAGCTTTGTTCCGAAGCAAAGTTTTGGAGATTCACCGGAAACATGACAAGCAATAATACCAAATTTGTTGAATAGTTTGATGTAGAGTAATATGAAGCATGTAGACACAAAATCCAGCACAACCTCACAACTACGGTGGATGCAGACTTTGGCCATCTGCCATCAGTTTTTTCCAAAGCATGTAGACATGACATATCCGCAAATCCGTACGATGGTGGATGTTAAGGGCCACCGGGCTTTTGCAATGTAACAGCAGACCTGGTTGCCAAGATCAGCACTCTGAGGTTACAAAGTGCTGTGCTTGCCACGAAATCTGCATTTCCTGCCATCCCATCACGAAAAATAACAAATCGTCAAATAATAGAACCGAAAATCGTCCCAAATTGATCCGGGCCCTTTGAGCAGGCCAGAGTCAGAGGGTGCGTGGCTTCGGACACGACCATAATCGTCATTCTAGATTTCTTTTTTGTGCTGACTTTTGTCTCATGACCGTTTCGGTGCCATTCACTTTCCTGCAAGCTGCTCAATCTTGCTTCTAACAAGCAGCACGCATCAAATTCAAATCAGGCACCGTCAATGAACAAATGGCTCATGAAACGTTGTGAGTACTGGTTTGGAGCGACTATTGCTTAGCTCTATTTTCTGGAAAACCAAGGCTTGGGTCGTGATCCTGACACCTTCCCCCCTATGGTCTGGGGACCAAGTTGCGGCAACCTCAGGCTTGAAGGAACATGATGAGTTGACCAGCTAACCAGCTGCCTGTGGTCAAGCTCGATTATTCTTCACATAGCAATAGCTATGGGTTTCTTACTTCAAATTTAGAAAGAGTTGGCTGTGAAGAATGCGGAGACCCGGTGTCGTTCTGTTCCGGGTGTGTTCTGGAATTGTGTGGGTGCTTTGGAGACACGGTGTCGGTGGAGGTGCTGTTAGCGTGTGCTGTTTCAGGGGATCACGGTTTGCACTGGCCCAGTGGGGTGAGTCTGTCAAGAGAGTTGGGCAGCGCCAAGGTGAGTGTTGAGGTTTGGGCCGGGTACTTTCTTTGGGAGTGACCTCTGAGAAACTATAAGGGAAACCCTTCCCTGTACGCATTGGACAAAACAGTTAAAAACAGTGGTTTTTGAAAGAGATGCTGCCTTGTTGGTGCTTGGTGTTGGGAAGCTAATCTTCCAGCAGTTGCGGAGGTTTTTGAGCAGAACATATGTTTGATGGTTGGGCTTTGCCATGAAAGATGAGATAAACACTGCAGAAGAAGGATTCAACTGCGAATGTTAAGCAGTTGCTAGCTTTTTGTGTGTGCTTCACGGTTGGCTGATTTGGATGAGGTTCAAGGAGATGCTGAACACTTCATTTTGCCTAAGATGCTTGAGCAGGCTTAGCCTCCGGATTTCACCAATTCGATGCTTTACACCAGCCTCCCATTGTTGGTAGTCACTCATCCAAAGCATGGTTTGTCAGTGGGGAGCATGTGAACAAATACATACACATCAATTGAATTCGTGGCTCCAGCGCGCTTGATATCAAATTCTGTTTCACGTTTCTCAAAACCCTCTGGCCTAGACTGCCGCTGTGGATTGAAAGCGCGCGGGCTGTGCAACCATAAAAGAATTGTTTTGTGGTGCACGTGTTGTGCACCATATTCGTGCTTTGGGACCAAAGACACGGAAAGCAAGGTGCAAGCGCAATGCTTCGCTTAGCTCCGATCGATGGCGTGGTTCATATTTCAGTTACTGAGTTCCAACATTCGTGCTTGGAACTGCATGACCCAAACCTGGATTCGTTTTTAATCCGGGTTGTTTCACCCAGTGTTCGCAGGGTGGATCCCGGCGTCACTGGTGACGGCGAAAGTTGCTCAGGACTAATTTTGAAAGCCATGCATGGCAGGATTCTGACTGACAGGAATGACAAACTATTAAAAACAGTTCTCAGTCAGTGCAGATCGTCTCACACGGTGAAAGTGTCACACGATGTACCATAAACAAATTGGCACATTGACCGCTTGGTGGTCAGAATGGACAGGCGTGCCGGAAAAGTATGACCGAACATTCTTGAGATTCCTTTGCATCTCCAAAGGCTGAGTGTTGTCAGTATCTGGCTTGTTGCTTCTCACGTTGCTATTTTGCAGTGTTTTCCAAAGCTGACATGGCCTAAAATCATGAAAACAGGGGTGTTGACGATGGTGGTTGGAAACGTGAATCGCCAACGTTGATATCACGTTACCAGACATTGGGGGCACCCAGCCGCATTTTGATGACATAATAGTGTAGTGCAGACCCTTTGCTTGATTATTTTTGTTTAGTGTTGTTGCTTTTTGAGGTTCTACTTTGTGTTGTGGGAGGGTCTGTGCTCGGAGGCAGTGTGGGACAAAACACACTCTTTCGGAGGACCTCCTTTTTCGGTTTGGTCATCTATAATATAGCTATAATATGCATCTCGAATGTGCTCTTGCAATTCGCGAAGCTTTTAGTGATAGAACTGTTGCTTTTGTACTACTGACAGGAGCACATGCTAGTTACAGTGTGGAACCATTTGTCGCGAGCTGCCGACTCTTTCTCACCTGCCGTTGAATGTCCGAAGTCTCATTCTTGCGTATTTTCTGTTTTGTTTGGTGGGTTTGGCCTGTGATCCATATATGGCAAAACAAGCAGATGATGGTGAATGTTGTGTCATTTCAGCATGGATGTTGCGTGAAACGATATGCCCCAGCTTTTCTGGACTAACGAGTGGCGAACCTGTGAATTTGATGTGGTGTTCACTTGCCTTTATGAAGATACTGATGAAAAGGCACAAGGGAAACCAGGCATTGTGATTTGCCGGCAGCCCTATTGAGCACAATGCCAAGGCCACGCAGCCCCACTTCGGTCAGCAAAGAAATTGTAGTAGAAAGGGGAGAGAGCAAGAGAGTGAGGGAGTCACTGTCGAGTTTGTTGTGGATTGCGTAGGCTTGATTGTTGCTTGTCCCTGCATTTGTTCCTGGCTCAAGAAACCGTAGGACTAGCTCTCATCCCCAGCTGCTGTGTTCTTCTTTTCAAATTGGTGCCTCAGGCGGTTGTCAAGCAGTGCCACGCCTCTTCCCAAAAGTCTAGAGGTCCAGAGCAAAATAGAGGTAATCTTCCAACTCGGGTAGCGCCAAAGCCCCAAAACTTGCCATGGCCGATGCTTGGCCAAATCTTGAGGCAGCCCGATTTGTGAGCAATTCTTTTTCCGGTGGGTTGATGTTCACATGGTGAAGTAACACTTCCTGGTTGCTGCACCATGAAAGTCTGAACGTATTATAGACATAGACTTTTCAATGCTGTCTCAGCTTTCAAACCTTGACGGAAACAACAATGTGTACAAGAGACTTCTTCCCGTTTCATTTTGCACAGCCAAGGAGATTGATGGCGCAATTCGAGGAAAGTCGACTGGCATTTTTGTGGAGCGGCCGAACAAACCGGGCAAGGCCATAATTGTAGGTTGAAGTCACGAAGTCCCTGGAGTCCGTTCCTCTCGAATCCAGGTTTTCAAACTGCGTGATATTCGATCCAGCAAAGATCTGCTTGATGGTGGAAGATCCGGTCACTTGGCACATATAGAAGATGCTTCTTGTTACTACTAGAAAGGCACTTGTTCCTAGTAGCTTCTTGT